TCCTGAAACTGATTCTAGCAGTATCAGACATACCATCGTGAAATTTAATGCATATATTTTTTTGCTTATGTATCCTCCCCCCCCCCCCCCCCCCCGCAGAGCAGTGTAAAATTGATAAACAGATTTCGGAATGGTTAGAGAATCAAAGGATATGCCTTTATCCAATTTTTGCAGCAATTCCACTTTTTGTTTGATGGACATCAAATCGTGCTTTCGCTTTGTAGATCCTTTGGGAGCTCCAGCATCGGAAATTCTATTTGACATAATCGAAAGTTCAAGCTTACTTTTAGAAAATTGCTCTTACAGTCTGCAAAAAATAATAAGCCGGATCCAATTCGAAGATTAAAGAACAACGCAATCATCAACATTAACTGAAATAGATAATTAGATAATTTTAGCTTATACCGTCCGTTATATATTTAAACGCGCACGCGAAAACGTATTCTGCACTTGCGCAGACGCATATGCGCAGTCGTAATGTCCGAATTAACGACTTTTGACTGTATAATATTTGGTCACTTAAACATACAGTGCACAACTCATTATTGCTTTGGCATATATCTACTTAAGTAAAGTGACCATATTTTCATTCAGACAAAGCGGGACAATTGGAATGAAATGAGAATTATAATTTAGTTATGAAAGCAGACCCTAATAATTCAAAAAAATATATATTATTATATACATTCATATACTTGTCTATAAATAAATAAAAAATATATTTATTATTAACAGTTTGGTAACTGTAAAAATATTTGTAAAAAATAATAATTTGAATATTATGTTTTTAATGAATTTAATATTTTTTTTTAAAAAAGTTATGATTTAATATTTTATTTTAATGAATTTAATATTTTATTTTAAAAAAGTTCACGGTTATATTTTTTATCCGAGTGAATACTTTGCAATAGATTCGGATCATTTATTAAAATGTCATGAAATTTCTCACATGAATCGATCAAATTATATTTTAGTCTTAATACACATTTTAATGTTCAACTGCATTTTTTTTTTTTTTCAATTTTCCATATTTTATTCATACTATGAAAAACACGTTCTGTTGCTGTATTTGTTCCTGGAAGGGAGAGCGAGTGTTCTACAATTTTCAAAATATTTTCATAGGAAATATTATTCTGTTTAAAATGAAGGAATAACTCCGTCCATTTTTTGTGTGTTTCCACATTTGCAAATATTGGCAGACAAACAATATTTAATTTTTTCTTCAGTAGGCTTATCTTTTTACCAATGACACCTCATCAGAAAGATCATTTTCGCAAATATTATTTTTTGGAAAATAGTTTATATTAAAAAATTATTCCCACATATTCCCATAAAATCTCCTTTTTTAATGTCACCCAATGAAAGTTTTTAATATACTCGAATAGAACTGTCCGTTCTTTAGGATATTCCAAGCAGTTATTATAAAATTTCTGACTTCTTTCAGAAAATCAGGTCGTTTAATATGGCACCTTGCTCTTCCAACCTAGTGATGTCCTTTTGAATAACTAAACGAACATAAACATTATCAATTCTTTCTCACAATTTTGTTTTTAAATTATTGATTTCATTTGACACTTCCATAATTGAAATTTTGTCCCCTTCAGTAATTTTCACGGCACTGTGAAATAATGTAGCTTGGTTGTGGATGAACTGAAGACAAATTTGTGATGTGTCATTTAAAAAAAAAAAAGCTGCAATATTCTTGGACATTTATCTTATGGTAAAAAATATGATTTTAATGGTTCGTATATTTTAAAACTATTTTCTACAGCTGGTAAAAGAGCTAGCCATCATGTTTTGCTGTAACCAGTAATTCTTTTATATTCGATTTCTGCGCTTTCACAAAAATCCTTCAAACCTTCGACACGCACAGTATATATATATATATAAAAATAGGAATAAATTTTTGCAGTAATATTTTCAACATCCAGTGGAAGTAAGTCAGATGCTGTTTGAATAGTATTGTGTAGAATGTGCGCTGCACAACCTAATTGAATAATTTTTTGGTTCAAACGGTTCGTTAAGTGTCATAAAAATGTTATTGGTGCCTCTTCTAGATTTTCTACCAAAATTTGCATTAGTTTCAACAATAATTTTATTGTTCAAATTATTCTTTTTTAAACTATTTTAAAGAGTCGGCTGCCGAGTGAAACTTCATAAATAAATGTTGATTCAATAAGTACTATTGAATCAACATTTATTTATGAAGTTTCACTCGGCAGCCGCCCAGACTGTATAATATGTTTAGGGGAGCCCGACTGTTATACTAAAGGGCCTGGGTTCAAATCCAGGAGAAGGCATGGTTGTAACTATCTATCTCTTCATAGGAGGCAAAGGTGGCCCACCTATTAGGTGCCTCCATAATAAAGAGACCACCACGTCCTGCCATATTATAGATTAATGGACTCTTTTACAAAACTGTAACTGTTCACAATCTGCCATTGGGAAAAAAATTTTCACCCGGCAACGAAACAAAGTCTAATATTCTAATTTTAATTTCTGTTTCTGGATCAAAAAGTCTAACAATTGTGGGAAATAATTTTAAATCTTTGTGCTTGGAACCATCGTAATATATGGATATAAATGTGCATTTATCTACCGTAATTTCGCGCGTATAGTCCGCGGACTATCTGTGTTTAAAATGCGAATTTTTGAAGCTGCGGACTATCCACCAGTGCGGATAATACGCTGGTTGTTCACGGTTAAAATCGTTGAAATTTAAAAAACACGCTGTCGTGAACTGCCGATGATCAAATATAAAAAAAGCGCGAGATTCCAAGAAAACATTCGTATGTATCGTATCGATAGTAAACCATAGCATGGTGCAGAACGATGAGTAGTAGCAAGTAGAGCTCCTAAAAATCCAGGCTGGCGCATCAAGCGATGCCGGGATATGAGCCAAAGAAGTCTTGTATGAGCATTCACTTAGCGCAACCAGAGTCTTGTATCCCAGTATCCTTCGCACTGCTTTAGCGCAACTGACGGGAGGGAAAATTATTGATGCGTCCGCTTGGTTTTTAGGAGCCTTAGTAGCAAGTACCTGGAGTACAAAAAAAAAAGCGTGATTTGTTTACTTATAGCGTGGTTTGGCAACACCGAAGTGAGTGGGGTCGAAGGTCAACATTTCATTACCACTTATCATGAGGATAGCACGTTGCAGTATTTTGTCATTCATCTTCGATAACGTTGATGAAACATCGCCGGAAAAAGATGGAAATAGAGAAGCGGGCCGTTATTGGTTTAATCCTAGTATTCGGTGCACACGGGATTTGGCTACTTTTGGCGACTTTATGATGAGCAGTTAAAACGGGACATATACGATGAGTAGTTAAACGGGTCATTTAAAAAAAAATATATAGTTTAACATAGTATATACTACATATAGTTATATACTATGTATATACACACATAGTATATAGTGCCATAGTATATATATATAGACGTTCTTTGGATCATTTTTGGTGTTGGCGATAATTTTCAAAGTCGCGCCAAGGCTGCACCGTATACTAGATTTTACCCCCGTTATTTGAAGTGGACGAGAAAGTGGTGAGAAATTGGCGCAAACAAAGGATGTGTTTAAAAACATGGGAATATTGCCGTATTAAAAACGTAATTTTCGGACGTATAGTCCGTGACTATCCGGTGGTGCGGACTATCTGACGATTTTTGAAATTTTTTTTATATAAAATCTTGCCTGCGGACTATACGTGCGAAATTACGGTAATTCTTTCTGCTATTGTAAAAACGAGTATAGTGAAAAAACATTGCAAATAATTGCTTGAACTTTTGTTCTTGTATATGCAAATATTTTGTCGTACAATGTTTTGATCATTTGCGAAGTACAATCAATTGATCTGGAACTTTGATTGTGGCTTATGGTGTGGAAAGCAAATAGCCGTTCAGCTAATGCTAGCTGTTCTTCCGTTAACAATACATATTCCTTGACGAGACGTAACAACAATGATCGAACACCACCGAGAAAATCTAACTCATTATATTGCCTAATTTAGTTTACTCTCCATGCATTTTATGTGTTTGTATTTCACTATAATAATTAATAATAATAATATAGATAATTAATAATATAGATTCACTATAATATTAATAAATAGATAACATAGATAAATAATAATATAGATTCACTATGATAATAAATAATAGGTAATATAGTTTTACAGAAAATTTAAAATAAAAAATATTTTTAAAAAGCGGGACATTTTAAAAAATCGGCGGGACGTGGGACAGTGCTAAAAAAAGCAGGACTGTCCCGGCAAAATCAGGACGTGTTCACTTAAGGAATTTCATGGTACTTTCTCATTAGCCACGCTTCCTGATTTGATTTGTAAAGGCAGTAAAATTAATTTGTTTTGTGTGTATTATTGAATGTTACAGGGGGCAATAACTAACTCACACGTGTTTGAATATTCACATATTTTTATGCTTTATATTTAGCCTTCATTGTGCTGAATAATATCAGCTATATAGAATTTTATCACACAAGTGTTTTTTTAGTAGTTATTCATGAGCAGAACAGTACTTATGAGCTATAAAGTTAGCCAACAAAATGTTTTTGCTAGTTTGCTTATGACTTTTCATGGTAATGTAGATATCATAAAGTACCAGATATATACATATATAAGCAGGCTTGTGTAGGTCCAGCACATATTTTAAATTGTCTTGATTTATACAGAATCGGGCCATTACTGATGTAATTGATTGTTATAACCAGAATCATATTTATATTTATCTATTATGTGCGCATTATTCTATCTGTAATTTAAATAATACATAAATTAATAGGGAATACTAATACTGAAAAATTATAGTTAAAGGGAAGAAAGAGAAGGTGAAAGATGACTTTGTAACTTTCTGTAATTTTTTATTGCAGGTGCAATGAGAATTTTGTGTACAAAATAATATTGTTGTAAGAAAATGAAATTTCAATTAATTAACTAATTGAGAATTTTCTGCTGTATATATATTGTATCTTACATTTATAGATTTGATGATCGCAAAATTGAAAAATATGAGGAATCAGTACCGGTGAAAAAGAAAAAAAATGCTTACTTTTAAAAGTGGTAATGGAGGACCAGGATTTGTACCTAAGTGGGATCACTTCCAACGATTATGCGTTTTGGATGATGGTATGATAGCAGAAGAGAGCTGCTCTAATTTGGATATTTCCTTCTGCTCAAGTTTTGTGCATGATAGTGAAGTATATGAGGTAAGCACTGAACATATTATCATTGATTTTTAATATAACATTGGATTTATAGATATTATTTTAAGTAAGTGAACTAATTGAAACAAATTTGGGAATATAAATATTCTCATACGGTATAGTTTTAGGAGTAGAATTACCACATTGTTGTTAAAACAATTATCTTATTTTGCACTGTATGCAATGTAAATCACAGTATATGTTATTCTGTTTGAGATAATTTACCTTTTGCTGCATTATGTATTAATAAGTGAAAAGAAAAATTTAATATTTTGTGCCCGTATACATTGAAAAGCAATTGAATTAGGGATACCTGCTTAGTAGCACGTAGCACAACTGCTCATTAGTCTTGCCATGAACTTGATGAAACACTGGAAGTGATGGGAAGCCATACATATTGACGACTCTGGAACAACCTCCTGTAATTCACGAAAATTAGATGGAAGATTTGATGGTCAAAAGCCTGAGTTATCAACACGCTCTTGTTAGAGGTAGTTGACTCTTGCAAGGATGGTTTTATCGAAATCGATGTACTCACGATACACCCTTGACACATTGGTGCATGAAAATCCGAGTGTCTGCACTACTTCCGAAAAGAAGTGACCCATTCATCGGGAACCAACGATTAGGCTATGGTCAAATGCTCTTGGATTCGTGCTTTTACCCATTTTGCTTTTGACTATTACTGATAGCAACACTCTTGGTCTTGTCAAACTGCTGCTTACATCAATTGCAAATCACTTCCAGGTTTGTGCACAGCTCAAAATTTGTGCCACACCAGCTATCCCTAATTCAGTTGCTCTCCAGTGAATAATCTAATACTATCTATAGTAATTTATTTCCCATCACAGCAGCAGCAGTTTTGTTAAAGAAAATAAATGCTTAACCACCGTTTTATCATTCTGACATATTAAAATGTTGTATATACATGCGTGTCTGTATGTATACATCTAACAAAAAACAGAAAATTTTAATAACAAACAACATCTCTTGTACAGTATAAAATTGATAAACAGTGCTATAAAGTTAATGTTTTGTATCAGGGTTAGTAGCCATATTTTAGTTAAAAAAATAATGCACCGATAAGCACTTTTCAAGCACATTTTAAGAGAAAAAATAAGCTCTGTGATGTAGCCGTTCCTCAATAGACACTAATGCCGGCTAGCTTTAAAAGGATTTATTAACAGAGCACACAGGAACGGTTACAAACAAAAGAAATATACATAAAAATGAAACATATACCAAATGGAACATCAAACAGTTGAATAACAGAGACATAGTAAACTAACATCATGGCGGCTGGAGTTCGACTGACGTTTTTTTCATATCGCCACGCGACTAGATGGCGTTTTAAATAAAATAGTTCGGTTACAGTTCATGAGTTCATGGCGTGAATAAAATAGTTCAATTACACTTAAATAGGTCTGTTACATCCTCTCCCTCTGACTTCGTAGACGTCTCGGCAAGAAGTCAGGAACTGACATTTGTCTACTTTGTGCAGCGGGCGGAGAATCAGATGGACGGGCTCCAGTTTGACGAGGAGTAGATTTTGCGTCACCAACACCTTGTGCAAGAGGTGCAGATTCAGATGGTATTACACGTTTCGGGCGTCCACTTTTCTTTAAGGGAACCACTGGAATTACACAAGCTGAGTTTTGCTTATTTCGATCTTGATATGGTTTCAAGGCTGAAACATGATACTTGCCAAGAATTTTGTCTGGTTCATGAGGATCGGCAATATCATAAGTGGTTGGAGATCTTGTAGTGAATATCACATAAGGACCATCTCTCTTGGGCATGAATTTAGCAGTTTTCTTCAGTGGACCTTTGCTGATTGGTTGGAGGGTGACCCAAACTTTATCTCCAGGAACGAATTTTGGTGTTTCTCTTCGTTTTTTTGTCAGCATATCGTTTCTGCTCATCTTGATGCATTTCGACTCTTTCTCGTACCTTGCAAAACATTTCTTGGCGGATAACTTGCTCATTTCTCGCGATATCGCTCATTTCTTGCAAAACGTTTCAAATATGGAGTAATTTCGTGAACAAAATTATCGTTCTCAATTACGGCTTTTATATCATGCTTTACATCATCTAAGGTTCGTAACTCTCGCGCAAATTGAAGAAAAGAAGCAGAATGTCCAGTTGAATCACATTTGGCTGTATTCAAAGCAAACCTTATTAATGGCAGTTTATCCTTCCATGACTGATGGTCGTTACCAACAAGTATTGCTAAACGTGGTTTCAGATCTCTATTCTTCCTTTTAACTGGGTTAGATTGTGGGTGATAGACAGGAGTAAGACTTTGATCAATGTTCAAGATATAGCATAGTTGTTGCATAACAGCACTAGTAAACTGGGTACCATTATCACTTATTATTTTCCTGGGTAACCCAAATCGAAGGGCGACTTCCTCCAAAAGAATAGTGGCACATTCTCTGGTCGTGGCTTCCTTTAAAGCAAATATTTCTGTCCACTTCGTAGCACAGTCCTGCACAATAAAAATCCATTTTTCACCAGACGGTGTTTCAGGAAGGGGACCGAAAAGATCAATTGACAAGGTCTCAAAACGTTGAGCATAGACTGGAGTTTGAAGTAAGCCAGATGGCTTTTGATTAGTGGCTTTATAACGACAGCATTCGAGACAGCTTTTGACATATTCTGCTATATCCTTTCTCATTCCAACCCAGTAGTATCTTTTTGCTATTCGATAAAATGTTCTTTCAGATCCATAGTGACCGGCCGTTGGCGAATCATGATATTCTTTCAAGATTTCTGCTTTTCTTTTTTTGAGGTATAACTAGTTGAGCTTCTTCCTCTTCTGAATCATATCGGGGAATATCGGTACAAAACTCCTCTGTTCATAACGTAGCCTCTTCCAGTCCAAGTTGCACAGTCTGGCTTCTTTCTCTGGACTCTCAAAAGTTTCGATGATCTTCCGAAGATCATCATCTTCTAGCTGTGATTGTCTTAATTCTGCAGGGCTAATAGTAGGGATTTCGACAGAGACAGCACATACTTGACAAGAATCTGTACTTGAGTGTTCACAAATAGGACGAGACAATAGATCAGCAATAAAGTTCAATCGTCCAGGAATGTAATTGATAGTCAGATTGTAGGATTGGATTTGTAAGGCCCATCTTGCGAGCCTACCAGTTGGTGACTTTAAAGACATCAGCCATTTCAATGGTTGGTGGTCAGACGGTGATTGTGATAGACTGGCTTTCAACATATCCTCTAAATTTGTTGAGTGCCCATACTACTGCTAAGGCTTCTTTTTCTATGGTGGAATAGTTTTGTCGTTCTGATGCAGTCAGCAAGCGGGCTGGCATATTCTATAGGGTGGTTCTTCATTTTTCACCCCTTGTAGCAACACTGCTCCAATGGCTACATTGCTAGCATCTGTGCGAATGAAAAAAGGCTTCGTTCCATCAGCTTGCTTAAGAATCGGCGGGCTAATTAATTTGGATTTCAGCTCTTGGAAAGCATTTTCTTGTTGTGCTTCCCACTTCCACAGCGCTTTTTTCTTTGTTAAATCCGTTAACGGTTTGGCTATTCGAGAAAAATTTGGAATATATCGACGATACCAGGAACACGTTTGTACGAATGATTGCACTTGCTTAACAGTTTTCGGCGATGGCATATCTGCAATGGCAGCAGTCTTGTTTGGATCAACAGCTATACCATGCTTAGTAATGCCCTAAATATTTCACTTTTTCACAACAGAAGTGACACTTCTCACGATTAGCATTGAGCTTGAATAACGATAGACGTTGTAAAACTTGTTCTAAGTCAGAAAGGTGCTTTTCGAAGCTAGATGACAGCACGATGATATCATCTAAATATGTCAAAGCAAACACATTTTTAAGTCCAGAACGGAACCTATCTATCAATCTAGAAAAAGTGGCAGGAGCGTTTCTCAATCCGAAGGGCATTCGGGTAAATTTATATGTACCAAAAGGGCAAACAAAAGCAGTCTTATTTTGATCTTCTTTAGCTACTCTCACCTGATGATAACCGGATCTCAAATCAATAGTTGACATATAAGGTGTCGGTTTTGCTTCACTCAACAAATCATCTATACGTGGCAAAGGATAAGTGTCTGGAACGGTTTGAGCATTTAGATTACGATAATCAATGCATAACCGTACTTTTTCCATTTGCCTTGGGAAATCAGAACCACAGGAGAGGCATAGGGGTCTTTCACATTCTTTTATGATACCTTGTTTTTAGAAGGGAATCAAGTTCCTTTTTCAACAGTTCTTTTCTTACGCTTGGGCTCATCCGATATGGAGGGACTGAAACAGGGGGGCTGTTTCTTGTGTTAATATGGTGTTCAATGAATGGAGTGGCTTCTCCCCTACTTTGAAAGACAGTGTGATATTTGTTAAGCAATGCATCAGTTGCAAGCCGTTGGGCTGTAGTTAATTGTTGTCCTTCATTTTCCCGTGTAGTTGGCAGTCGTTTTTACAACAACTGGGTTTTCTTCCAGTACTTGGGATTGATGAGGTTTCACGAAGCTATATTTTCTTCGAGGTTCATCAGAAAAGTTCCACCTATTTTCAGCAAGATTTAAAACAATTTTAGCTTTTTGAAGAAAGTCAATTCCTAACAGAGTCGAGTTATTTTTGGCATCAGGCAACACAAGGAGCGGAGTTTTGAACTCTCTGCTTTCGAGAAGAATAATTTGTTGGGTGCGAAGTACCTCTTTTTCAGATACCAAACCATCAGCGAAAGACACCTCTAGTGTTGTCTTTTCAAATAATGCATCTTGTTTCTGCAGAATATGATAGAGGGATTCACTTGCGATTGAGTGACTAGCACCACTGTCGACGAAAGCTGTACCGGAAACACCACCAATACTAATTCGAAATACAGCAGTCCGAGGGGAAGATAAACAGGATCGGATTTGGATAGTGCCAAAATTTGATGAATTTTAAGTCTTTGGGGGGTTACAGTCTGGACATTTAGACTTGATAAAACCAGTTTTTCCGCACCCATAGCATTTTAAAGGAGGTCGCGTTCCTTCTGTTTGTTGCTGACCATGATTTAAAAAGGTTTTATGAGTTCCCTGTATGTCACTTGTTCGATTTTCTACTTTGTGTTTGGATAGATTAGTCGGTTTGTAAGAATAGTTCCGCCTGCCAGGAAGTTCAGTTTTATAGTTCGTATTTTTAACACGTACAGCTTCATAATCATCCAATTTCTGTACTAATTCAGATGAACTCTTTATTTTTCCCCAAGTATCAATAAATGCTCCTTAACGTCACTACTGACTCTTCTTTTAAGCTGATCTGTCAGGACCAAGTCTTTGAGTGATTCAAAGTCTGTAACATCGAGACTATGAAGCCACTCTTCGAGATAATTGTTTAATTCGTAAGCAAAATCTTTCCATAAGGACCCAGGGTGTTTTTGGTGTAGTAAGTTTAATTCGAAATGATTCAGCATTTAATTTGAATCTTTGTAGCAGAATCTTCTTGATGTAAGAATAATCTTCTAATTTGTCTTTTGGTTCTCTTAAAATAATTTGCGAAATGTCTATAAGCAGAAGAGGTAGGAGATGAGTGATGTAATCTGTTTGTTTTATATTAACTTTCTCACATTGTCTTTCAAAAATTTGCAGGTAGGTTGCAATGTCAGAAGTTCCTATAAATTTAGGGATTAGGTGGTGAATATTTGTTTCAATAGCTGCATTTGAAGCAAAGGCGGCATAGTTAGGATTTGAGCTAGCAGCTGCCAGGTTTAATTTTAAACGTTCCAATTCTAATAAAAGTTCTTGTTCTTTTCTTTGACGTGTCTCCAGATCATTGCTTTCACATTGTTTTTGTTGTCTAGTTTCGATTAAAGTTTCCAGAAGATTCTTGGTAAAAGCCTCATCATAAGTGTCAGAATTGACAATAAGATCTTTAAGATCTATTACTCGCATAGTGTCGTTTACAGTGAAACCCAGTTCTGCAGCGAGAGTTTTTAAATCCTCTTTTCGTGCTTTGGCAAGGTAAGCCATAATAATATGAGAGGTCAGGGGGGAGGGAAAACATCTGCTGCTGTATGTCAGAATCGAAACTAATAAATTCTAATGAACAACGTCCATGAATATATTCAAACTTTAACATCAAAACAGGCATTCAGTGAAACAATATTATTCACAAATTAATTTACTATGCGTATTAATATTTTAAAATAACAAATTACAATTCAAGAAATAACGTTTGGTTAACAGAAAGCCGTTTGCTTTCGTCTAATACTCTTATGTAGTATCAATAAATGAGGTTTCAGTAAAGAATTTACATTTGCTTTAAGAAGCAGCTTATAATAAATAATCAGTTTAAAAGAACTTTAAACTCAGATTAAACGATAATGTAAACGAAACTTATCTTTTCCGTTGAAATTGTCCAGTGATGATTCGATGTGCTAGCAGCACGGTATGACAATTTTAATTCCAGAATTGGTTTCCAGAATATTTGACCAATAGTCCACACCTGAAAAGAAACTGAGCCGATCTCCAGCAACTAAAAGTTAAATTCGGGAGTAAGAGCTTGTTAAAGCCAAACAGAAATTCTAAACATTTTGTTGCGCCATTTTGGATTCAAATTTAGTTGGGCGTTAATGTGATGTAGCCGTTCCTCAATAGACACTAATGCCGGCTAGCTTTAAAAGAATTTATTAACAGAGCACACAGGAACGGTTACAAACCAAAAAAAATATACATAAAAATGAAACATATACCAAATGGAACATCAAACAGTTGAATAACAGAGACATAGTAAACTAACATCATGGCGGCTGGAGTTCGACTGACGTTTTTTCATATCGCCACGAGATGGCGTTTAAATAAAATAGTTCGGTTACAGTTCATGAGTTCATGGTGTGAATAAAATAGTTCAATTACACTTAAATAGGTCTGTTACAGCTCCTGCTTAATTACATATACAGTCAAAAGTCGTTAATCCGGACTCGTCGGGACTTCGGCGATTCCGGATTATCGATTTTTCCAGATTATAGATCATCAGTTTAAAGCTGGTAAGAGGTGCATGCAGAAATTATAAAATTAAAAATATGAAACCGTAATTTATGAAATAAAGAACAATTATGATCTAAAGAGTACCAAAATTTACAAAAAAAAAAAAAAAAAAAAAAAAAAAAAAGCTTAATATTTACTTGTTTACTTTATTCAACATTTCTTTCGATGTAAGTTGTTTAAGTTGCTTCGTTTTATGTGATAATACTTTCTCTTTAATTCTATGAACAGACATAATTTCTTGTTCAGTTACAAAGTTCCGCTGTTCAAGTCCTGTGTCGAGAATACCGACTAATTTGTCAATCGAAATTTTTTCGTTTTCAATAACCTCTGTGTCACTTTCTTAACTATCGGAAGCGAATTATAATGATGAGGAATTTGATTTAAATTATATCAAAGACGGAGTACATTGAGATGAAATACTACATTTAGTTAGGAATTATAAGCCAAATAAAATAAAAACATCTGCCCTGAAGATAAGGATAGTGCTGACAGATGAACTTCCAATTCATTGCACGCCGTGGCATTTCCCCCTCTCCCCGCTGCAGAGCAGCGTGAAATTGATAAAAAGATTTTGGAACGGTTAGATAAACAAAGTATATGCCTTTATCCATTTTTTGCAGCAATTCCACTTTTTGTCTAATGGACTTCGAAACATACTTTCACTTTGTAGATCCTTTACATATTAGTAAATATATATCGGAAATTCTATTTGACATAATCGAAAGTTCAAGCTTACCTTTTTAAAATTGCTCTAACAGTCTGCAAAAAATAATAAGCCGGATCCAATTCGAAGATTAAGGAACAACGCAATCTGCAACATTAACTGAATTAGATAATTTTAGCTTAGCTTATACCGTCCGTTATACATTAAACGCACATGTGTAAACGTATTATGCACATGCGCACACGCATATTCACAGCCCTATAGGTCTTACGTCAATGCGACGCATGCGCAGCAAGTTTGTAGCTTTGAGGTCCGGATTGTGGGTGTCTGAATTAACGACTTTTGACTGTATACACAACTGCATAACTTTAAAAGAAAAATGAGATGACTGTAATTTAAAATATGAGAAATTTAGTATTTATTAGGAGAGAATCAGCATTACTCAACCATGAAAAACAATTGAAATTATTTTTTTTAATTTTAAATAATAGTTTAATTTACAGAACTAGTTTACAATGAGAGGGAGGGGAACCCACTAAACTATATTATTACAAGATTTAATGATGAAATTTCAATTAAAAATAAGGAAAATAAATAATAGCAAACCATATTTATTATATTCATACGAAGTACTTTACAGCATGCCGACCAGTCGGTATAGTGGTCAGAGAAGCTGACTGCGATGCGAAAGGGCCTGGGTTCAAATCCCGGAGAAGGCAAGGTTGTAACTGTCCATTCCTTCATAGGAAAGGTGATGGTGGCCTACCTATGAGGAGCCTCCATAATAAAGAGACCACCACATCCGGCCTTGTATAGATTAATGGACTGGGTTACATATGTAATTGTTCACAATCTGCCATTGAAAAAAAAAAGTACTTTACAGCATAAAAAAGAAACAAAAAAAAGATTTATGCTTATTAATGAATAACATTTTTTTTTCTTTTGTCTCTTTTCATTAATGTCTGAATCCAGTTCTCTTAATAGACTTTTTCACAAGAAGTTTTTAACAGTTCATTAGATTTATTTAAAAGATTGAAATCTTTTATAACTTCAGCCTTTTCAGCAAGTTCATTTGCTTTATTTTCAGTCACTTCTCTTTCTAAGAAAGGTTTTTTTTTTTTTTCCCCGAGAGAAATTAATTCCTATCTTGATTCTGCTTTCTTTTGTTAGTTTAATTTTTTTTTTTTTTTTTCCTGCTCTTTCGAATATAACCAATACTGCCACTGTCATCTCTTTCGGAATTGATACATTGTGTATCCCACCAGCATGTTTCACGTAATCAAAAACTATGTGCTAGGCAATTTCTGTTTCTTTCTTTCTTTCTTTCTTTTTTTTTAATTTTTTTATTTATACTAAATCCTGGTTCAACAGAGGCTTGCCCATGGGAAGCAATAAAGATGTTTCTCATAACTTGAAGTATTTTGCATTAATGAATGCGAGCAAAAAAGTATCTAATGTTATTTTTTAACATCATAGGTTTTAAATTCTGTAAGGTATGGCTGGACAACATTTTCGATGCAATCAGAATATTGTAAGAGAATATTATCGCATTCTTCTTCTGCAATGTGGCCATTTTGGGGAAAATGCATGAATATACTATATGGTATGATTTACAGAAATATATTCCTACATAATTAAAAGGGAAAATAAAATTGTGGCCTTGTATTTTTAACTGAAGATTGAAAGAGGGGATCATAATTATTATTTTTACATAAATCATTGCAGTGAAAGCATCCAGTTAACTAAAAAAGCTCTACATATTGTTGTTATTATAGCTAGATCCTGTTTCAGAGTTGTCTTAAATTGTTTATTTATGTGATGCTTTGATGTTAGATTTAAAAAAAAAAAAAAAAAAAAAAAAGATATGAACTAATATTCAATATTCCATTCAGGAGGAAGAACATGTAGAGCAGCCCTCTGCTGTTATAAGCCAGATTCCAGAAGTATTCCCAAAAGTGACTGATCCTTCTCCTCCTCCTCCTCCTCCAGATTCCAAGATGAGTGCAAGAAAACGTAAAAGGGAGGATAGTGATGTTAATGACCTAATTTCTAGTGCTTCCACTGCACTTTTAAAAGTGCAGGAAGTTGAAAATAATACTGAAGTGCTCTTTAGGAAATATGTAGCTTCCTCCCTTTAAAATATTACAGATTTACACAAAAGAGAGGAACTGGTATTAAAAATACAATTAATCTTCGAAGCAAAATTTTCATCATAGCTGACTTTTTTTAATTTCTTCTTTTCAAAATATAAAGTATGGTTTTTTCGTTATGTAAATAAAATTGGCTTCTATTTCTGTACATTTTAATCTATGTAAATTTATTTTACACTTAATTATGCACATGAATAGAAAAATAAGAATTCAAAGAGTAATATTACTGTTAGTCTCTAGAGGTTTATTTTGTGCATAATTATGATACACATTACATTAATAGAAAAATAAGAGTTCAATGAGTAAATGATTCATGTTTTTATTTTCAGGAATATAAAATGTTCAAAGTCACTGACCACATTTGAAAAATATATTTCAACTGGATTATTTTTATCTACAAATTACAATAGAAACATTTAAAGAACTGATTATCTAGTTCAGTCTCACTTTCTGTTAGCATTAATTCAATATTTTTATATAAATATTCATAATCACTATTTGAGAAGTGACCTCAAAAATTGATTGACCATTCTGAGTTACTTATTTTTTACTAGTTTATATTATGGCATAAATATAAGTTTAATGTAACAAGCAAGTGAAATAGACATATGTGAATCTTGTTAAAAAGATTTAGAAAAGTATTACAAAATCAACAAATACTTTAGGAGTTTTAATGACAAACAGAATCTAATTAAAAATAATTCATTATTATTAACTGAATGCTTTAAATCAAAAGTTTTTTTTTTTTTTTTTTTTTTTTTCCTTTCTTTTTTTGTTGCTGTACATATTTTTTTAAACATTTTCTCTAAGCAATTAAACAAACAAGAAGGAAGTTATAAAATTCAAAATATGTGGTACTTTGATATAGTACAGTGTTTATGAAAGTGATGAAACATAATAAAATTGCATGTATTTTCACTCGTATTGCATTTAATTGTATTATTTGATTACTGCAGGGGATGGATGCATTTATGAAAGACATCTGAAGGAAACTTAGCATCTGTTTATATTGCACATTAGAGCTAAACCTTTATGTGGAACTACATTCTGCAAAGATGTTTATGTTTTGAAATGTAGATTCAAGTGTATTTTGTGCATTATACCAATCATTAAATTTCACCCATTTATACAGAGCCTTTTTCCAAAAAAGGGCATATTACTTAAAAAATTGAGCAAGTAACTTTTGACAAAATATTTAACACTTTGGAGATAAAATAAATACTTTTAATTTATACAATTACATCGCAAAGCATATGTATGAATAAATGACATTATATTGTGTACATAAAAATTATTAAATTAACTATAATGATCATATGGATACAAAAATATTTTTTCAGTAATAAAATCAGAAATGGTGCCAAATTACTGAATGTATGATGTAAAAGTATTTATGAAAATATATACAATAGATTATTAAGAATTGGAAGGGAAAAAATGCAATAAACCCATGTCATTTTGCCAAGGTACTTTTAGAAGTGAAGCAAGAGCATTGTGCCAGTCACTAAGGTTCACACATTCCTCTTCATCTATACTGTACCTGGGGAGTATACCTGTAACAGCTGAAGATGTGCATCTTAAGAAATTATGCAAACAGCAAGTAACCATTACAAAATGTTTGGCATTTTGGGTAATGGCTACCAAACCACCACCATCACTAACCCTCCCATTTGTTCTTATGTGGACATACAAAATACTGAAATGCCTTCTGTAATTGTAATAATATGATGCAGATATGGATGGAGTACTTATTTTACCATGCTTTCCATCCATTGCTCCAATGCACATTGGAAAATTCCATAATCTATAGGGGTTTCCTTCTATTTCTAACCACTGTTTTATAGTATCTGGAACTGTAACAAAAAGTGTCTGAAGAAATGCTGAAATTGCTTTGCAAACTTCTACAATTATGCCCAAGATCATGTTTTGTGCAATTTGGAACTGGAAGGATAAAGAGCTTTGTGTTTCTCTTAAAGGAAAAAATCTGATGTGTACACCACATGACTTCCTTGTACGGAATATTAAATTATAAGCATTTTTTGCATTTCATTTAAACTTATTGGATTGAATTAAATCTACTTCACTGACAGCGCATAAACCACAATAGAATAAATGCATTCTTTAAAATTCACTCTAGTATTTGTTTACCATGGTGACACTCTGGCGCTAGATTCACTTAACAGTATTAATAATTATATAACAGTTAACTTATATAATAATTATATAACGGAAACTAAGTAAACTGTTATATAATCCAATAATTATGTAAAAATTAACTTATATATTTCGTTCATATTATAACTCATAATGCACAAAATTTATATCATTTAAAGAATAGAATTATCTAATCGTTGCCACATGTTCTATTCAAATACTATAATAAAGCTAAAATGATGTATAAAAGAAATTAAGCAAACAAAACAAAAAAGAAACAGTTTTTCACAGACGATTAAGTATTTCTCGTTCAATTAATTCAGTTCTCACTTCGCGAGAAGGCAAAAATACATAAAAAATATCTATATTAAAAATTACGAAGTAAATCTTTTCCTCGAAAAATTCCAGAAAGAATTAAGCATGATTTAATTGGCAATAATAAATGAATGTGTTATCTTTGTTGTTGCGAAGCTAAGTTTCTCTAGATTGGCAACAAATCCACTAGTCTCCTGTTTCAAATATATACATCAATGGCCGCCATCAAGAGAAGTATTAGGCTTACCGGCACTTAAACAACTTTAAAATTGTTGATAATTCTAAAAATATTGCATAGAGATTTACTAAAGGCATAAAAACCTTAACCGGAAGATAAGAACAACATAATTCAATCATTTTTAAAGCAAAAAATGTACAATTTACAAACATATAAGAGTAAAGAAACTGAGATCACTGAGCCGGGTAACAGAGTGGATATATATATATAAATATATTTGTATACGTTTGGTGCGGCCGATTGCAACCAAAATACGAGGTGCACATCTACATGTTATAGCAGTCCTATATACAAAATTTCAACGTTCTGAGGCTACTCGTTTTTGAGTTATGCGAGATACGTACATACATAAGTATGTACAGAAGCCATGAAAAATTCTCTTCAGAATTAATTTTAAAGCAGTTTTATAATTTTTTTGAAGGAAAAGAGTATTTTATTATGTCCTTACGCACAGATATCACGCAAAACCATCGTTAAATTGCATTCGATAGTGGTCATAATGGATATTTTTGTTGAAATATGCTGCCTGAAACTTTTCACGATTACAATACTTCCTTTTTACTTCGTACAAGGAAGTAAAAAGTATAATCATCAGTGATAAATATAAAATATATCTATGAACTGTTTTATTATGAATATATTTTCAATAAATAATAGTCTAATGTTATATAACTGATGCTTCTATCATAAGGAATTTTGAATTTATACATTTATCTTTAATTAAATCTGATAACTCTTTATAACAATATATATTTATATATATAATTACAAAACAATTTTTTTAAAAAACGTGCAATTAGATCATTTTTAGATCCCCCTGTTGTCTAATGCATAAAGCTTTGACCTCCAGTGGCGAAGAATGTGGATTCAAGTTCCACGAGGGCAACATTTTAATGGAGTTATTATTTTTTTTTAAATATCTATAGAGAAGTCTATCACTAACTTCAAAACATCACAGATACTTATTCTTGTTTTCTGAAGAGGCAGGTTAAAAACAAGCTTCCTACTGATGAACCCCCCGTTCGGTTCTGAGGTAACTTGCAGAGAGCAAAACTCAGCAGATACCACATAGTGTTAAGCTAGGGCCTCACTTTTTCCCTTCTTTGATGAAATTCAGTAACTGATACAGTAGGTAAAAATACAGTAGGTGCAGTGGGTAAAAAAACTGACACAGTAGGGGGGTTAAAAATGCATGTGAATTCATTGCATTTTTACCTACTGTATCAGATTTTTCTTCCCCCTCCCTCTCTTTAGGAATGTTATTTTTGAATTACTACAAAGATAACTTTCGGTTCTATGTGCATTTTCTTATAACAACGATCCTCCTTCACAAATCACAAGATGATCTGTGGTAAAGCCTTTTTGGTTGACACCAGACTAGCAGAAGCAATGTGAGTATAAGGTTGCTTCTTTATCTAATTAAAAAAATTTAGTAAGTTCATAGTTTTAAACAATTGTTAACAAGTAAATCATTTTATTTCAAAATTTAGGGAAACTATTATTTATATGGAAAGAAAACTTTCCGGTATATGTCATTTAAATTTAGAAAGAAATTCAACCTTAAATATTAAAGCTGATATAATTCAATAATGTTAGGCATTTTTAATAGCTTTATGTTGGCTTTTCTTAAAGTTCATGACCATTTCTTTCCCACAGACTTTAATCAAGGCCCAAGGTTTAATTTTGGTAATAATTTTTCATTAGTTTAATAAGCATTAGGCAATTTGCTAACTGTAGAATGAATTTAGTTCTCGAAACATAAAAAATATTATATAAAAAAAGTTCCTTCAATGAGTTTTTAGACTAAAGCAATTTTATAAAATGAAACTTTAGGCAGCGACTCTTCATAATATACGAAGGAAGCAATTGCAATTACATTTAACCTTATAACATTGTACTAAAGACAATATAAAAGATATAATTTTTATTACACTAAATAAACAGTTTCATTAAGGAACGTAACAATATAATAATATCATGAAAGAAATTTTATAGTGTCTTAAAATCCATGAAAACCTCACTCCCTGAAACTGAAAGATGCAGTTAAAAAAATGTTTAATTATCATTCTAAAAAATTCATAAATAAAATAAATTAGGTGAAGACAACGATTCTTTTCTCTCATATCCTTTTTGTGCCGTTCAAGCGATGCTTTTCTGGGATATTCTGATGAAAGTTGGTTTTCAGATTGAAGATTCATCATGCTAAACTAATTAAAATGAAAGCATTCGATGTCGTCTACTCTCCTCTTAAAAATAATTTATTTAAAGTTATCTCTCACTAATTAATATAACCTATCACCTTCTCTTTTTTTCGGGGAGGGGCGTAAAACAAGAAATGAAATAAGTT